TTTTTCTAATCAAAAAGCGGATTGAGCAATGATGGACGATATATTGGCCTATTGACCCCTTTCTCCTTTTCAACCTATCTTGATTAGAATTTGTTTTTCAACTAATTTCGAGTTTCACAAATTCACATTATGATTATAAAAAAACTCGCCAAAAACTTTTGTGCCAAACATGGCCTTAATTAGAGCTCATCTACGTATTTTTTATGTGCCAAAAGTTTAAGCATTTAAAACATAGGTTCGGTCTTGGTAATCTCTCGGTCTCTTGTCATCACTATATAGGTGTATTGGGTTCAGTTTTCTCATTTCTCTAAACTTCTTCCAAGTTCTAGTGGTTTCATTTGTTGTTACTTTTATACATAAATAGAAAGCCCAACAATGAAGTAGTATGAACACTGAGATGGCTGAGGTGACTATGTGTTCGTAAAAAACGGGAGCACATCACATGCTGAAGTGCACCCATGGTACTCAATCTATTGTTTATACAATCGAGTACACTACGCACATTATCTCTATTCATTTTGAACTCGAAATTCCAGTGAATGATCCGTCAAATGACTCTGTGATAATATATTTGATTCACATTTTCTGCTAATCATATTCAACATGCTCGCAGCAAACACCTTAACATTGAATATCAATCTGTTCGAGAAAGTATTGCACATGTGGATCACCAGATCTTGTTTTATTGAAAGGAAATCACCTATACATGTATCATTAGTTTTTGGATCGTTACATCTATAAAAGAAAAGTCATACCCGACAGACGGACACCAACTAACATCCACCAACAATGACTGTAACTCTGATTACATATAGAGACGGTCACCCCTGAAAAAGCAAATCAAGTCACTAACCGCGAAACGGGCTTGACACAGCTATCACTGACCGTATAGATCCGTATACTCCTAATGACATAATAATAAGCTAAATTTCCTATCATCTCGACAAATCTAGCAACATATACTTTAACGAAAATTCAAACAACAAAATTACAATATCTAATAGGATAAATTTCACGAACCCTAGCATCTCGTTTAACACATTGCGGTGGTCCAGGAGAAGACCAAACCGTAAGTACTGATGTGATTGAATTTCCATCGCCAGCCAAACTATGGCCTTCATCAAACCCTTCGCTCCCCAACCATCGTTGCCCCTCGTACGTGATTAAACTGTTGCTCCCTGTTGTCCTGATAATGGCACCATGACCTTTCACGACTAAAGCAAGACCTCTGGTCAATGTCTGAACCATACATACTCACCTTCTCACCTTACATCCTATGACTTTCAGTTGAAGCTGAGAGAAAACAATCCCTAAAAAATCTAAATCTCCTACAAAGAAAGCTTCGTGGCACCAACCCTAACCTTCAGATGAGCTGCGCACTTCCGCTTGGTGGATCTTCTTCTTTAGACACGTTCCTATTCAATCTCAACTTGCACGTATATTCACCAAGAATTTAACGACAAAACATTTTCGGATTTGCATGTACCAATCTGTGTGTTGCCCCTTGCATGGTATGAGAGTATAATAAATGTAGAGTTATATTTATTTATAACTTTTAAGAATCATATGTGTATCATAACTCTATTAATTATTTATGTACTTGGTCGGGCTGAACTTGCAAGTATACAAGTGCCGATATAGTAATAAAATACCGGTAAATACCGGGTCGATCCACAGGGAAATGGTTGTTATTATAAAGTCGAATATTGAATGCAAAGAATGTAAATGATATATATTTTTTTTTCAGGAACTTTGCTCTTTGAGATTGGTTTAAACAAGAATGAGAATTACTAAGGCAATCGGGATTCACCTAAATGCTTTAATAGATATTTAATAATAGTTCTTCCCCAAAAATTATGAATACGATGTCGCTAATATATTCTCAACTCCGGTTAAGGCAGCGAGAGCGTGGTTTTCGTTACGTGTAAGTCCCGTTACGGCTTACATTCATCTACCGAAAACCCCGTTGAATATCAAGACATCACACCCGTATCATATAAGACCGGATATATTTCTATTCTCGGTACTATATATGTTTATCCTTTAATGTTCATAGTTTAGACTTCAACGTTAATTGCAAGCATAAACTAAATTTAACATACTTCTATGTTGTACACCATAGTCATAAACAATCAAAATATAAAGGATAAATCACAATTTATTGGTTTAGAACTTTTAGCAAACACCTAATGTGCATAGAGGTTCATCCCTAGCCTTAGCTAAGAAATTAGCCTCTAATGCTCATATTAATCACAATACAATATTGAAATGTAATGGAACATGAAATTACAAAGGAAATAATACCTAAACACCAATGGTTTCGGAGGTTGAAGTTTCCTCCTCAAGAACTTGAAGAACAAAAGCAAAAACAAAGTATAAAGACTAAGAATTAATCTATGGAATGGAATGTTTATGTTTGATGAATTGAGGGCTTTATATAGGCTAAAGAATGGCATCTTTTAGTCTATTCGAGCCCAACAATCAGGTATGGAGCAATATTTGATCAAGAGATGAGGAAGGTGAAGTTTTCCCATCAAAAATCCTCTTGCACGACCTTTTGTTTGAGCTGAAATCGTCCCAACCGGCCCCGGTCAGTCTAGAACCGGCCCCGGTCGCAAACAGGCTCGTTTAGTGCGAAAAAGCCTTCCAACCGGCGCCGGTTATAGGCTGACCGGCGCCGGTTGCAGCGCCCAAAAATGCGCTTCCTTTCTCTTCTTCCGAAATTGATCGAAAAGTGTCGGTTTTTGTCCCAGGATTTTGGGGATGTTCCGCTACGAATTTGGACATGATTCCTTCATGAAAGTTGTAGATAATGAAGTCTTCTATCCACCAAAACTTGAATGACGTGATTTTATTCATCCAATCAAACGTTATGGCTAAAACACTGAGAGGTATGCATCCTGAAATCCTACCAGCAACATCTGACTTTGTTGGTTGATTGAGTCTTGTTCCTTTCATATTTTGGCCATGACGTCTTCATAACATTTGTACCTTATTGAGTTAGAATTCACATGAAACTCGAATCGAGTGATTTCGAGTTCTATAGAATACGTTATACTCAAATTATGGGCAGAACATCATTCTCTTGGTCTAAAAAGTCGTTCATCGCAATGTTTTATGCTCTAGCTCTCATTCTGGAGGTATTTGCCCGATTTCTCTTCCTTTCTTCAACAAATACTTATAAATACTTATGTTAAACACAAGTAAATATAACGGCTATCAGTACTTACTCCCCCCGAACTGATTTTCAATTTGAGAGTTTCAAAGTTGAGTGAAGATAAAGTTAAAAATCATTTATGCGGATAATTAAATCAGCTTTAATAATTATATTTTACATACTCAAAAAATTGCATTTGAAATTCTTTATAGTAGCTAAATTCAAATTTGAATATAATAAAATATTGATATATCAAGTAAGTAATTAAAATGAAATTATGTTAATTAACTAAAAAAATTGATTATACAAATTATTTAGAGAGGAAGGAAACCTAATTATTTATTTACTATTCTCACAATCTCACGTCTTATGGGGTAAATTGTGTCGTACAACCGGTTGTACGGTGAACACCGCACAACTTGCCATTTTTGCAATTAAATCTGGCTCTGCAACTCATCGACGAAGGACAACAGGTCGAGAATCGAGTGATGCGAATGGAATCTGAAGCACACGGCGACGAATTGACTGATGAAGTGGGGATCATGCTCATCTTGTATGATTGAAGCAAAATCATGCTTCCAAATAAGTATAGTGCTTTGTGATTATCAATACAAAATCTGGAGCAGACGGCCATTATTTGTGAGTATAATAATTGAAGAATGCTTTTGTTTGATGAATCACGTTTTTGGATGGCTCAAGTTTTTGTACGGACATATTTGAAATGAGTGTAATGCCTAAAAGGAATGAACATACATAAATAAATATTGAGCATATTAGAAATGAGTTTTATGTTAAGCATAAATGAGTATAACGTCTAAAATGAATGAGCATACACAAATGGGCATTTTAATTTTTCGATACTCATTTCCTAAATTATGTTTTCCATCATTTGCAATGGAGCCAAAGATTCATTATTTTTTGGCTTGAGAATATGATGGAACAAAGCCTAAACTGTCTGCGCTTCTTTGTTATGAAGCATCAGCCAGTCCATGCAATTTTGGACGCGATTTTTACTATGGGTCATCCGGAAACAGTCTCTCTGTGCTTTAGTACAGGGATAAGACTGCGTACATCCGACCCCTCTTACCTCACCGTAGGTGGGAGCCTTTGCGGCATCGGGGTAAATGAAAATGAAAATGATTTCGTAAATTATGTATGCTCATTTGATATCGGTTTTATGCTCATTTCAAAATGTTATATCAATACATATTTCAAAACTATCAATACTCTATTAAATTCACGTGTGTTGAAATTAATTGGAATTGATTATAGCCATAATTTAAGAATTTTTATAAAATAATAATAAAAAGAAAATGAATTAGAAGATATGAAGTAGAGATCACGAGGTTTATTGTTATACCTTTTTTTTTTTAAAATCGTTCATTGTTATACTTAAAAGAACATATTTGATACTCACCGAAATTGCATTAATGCTAATTTATGAGAACTCGCAAATTTCATTTGAATAATGAAAATGCCACAGACGTGTATACAGACTCGCTTTATGGCTAGTATACACTGGAAAGCTATATTGCATGGATACGGATACGCCGATACGCGAGTAGTCGAGTACGAATAGGGCGATACGGCAACTTCAAAAATTATAGGATACATGTACGGGGTATATTTATAAATAATAATAATTATATAGGGTGTGGTTTGTATATATATGTAGTTCAAAGGTTCATAAATAAAATAATAAAAGTATCAAAAATTAACAATTACTCCGTCTAATAATATTTCAAAGATTGGACTAAAAAAACTAAAGTACTAATCTTTCGGTTTAAATTCAAATAATATTTTCTATTTCACAGTAGTTCCAAATCTGTTGAATACGCGTAACGATTCACATATGGCCATATGGGTATGTGAAATATCCATATTTTATAAAATAAGTCAACTAATTTTATTAAATTAGGGATACAGACAAGTATCTGTCCACCATAGCCGGAAAGTATCATGTCCCTCATTCATGATGTCAATTTCCATCCAATGGATGGGTACACCAAGGAGCTCCATCTCGAGGGCTAACAATGAGATCCACCGGGCTTAGTTTATTTGCCTCATTAACTCCTTTTCATTCTGTAATCCTTAAAGAGCGTGGTAGATTTTCATCAAATTTGGGTTATACGAACTCAATAAAGTCAAAGAAGTTGCACTCTTACCATCAAAAGTTCGAATTGAATACCGAATCTGTAATGGGTGCAGAGCGTTATCTTCCTCCTTGGTTTAGGTGGGTATCTATGATGGATTAGCTTTTGTTTTATCTTATAATTATGGGTTTGTTGCACTCTTACCATCTAAGGCATTAATGTTTTAATGGACAGTGTTGCTCCAATGATGGAGTGGACAGATAGTCACTACAGAACTATGGCCAGGCTCATTTCAAAACATGCGTGGCTCTATACTGAAATGCTTGCAGCGGAAACAATTATATATCAGAAGGGAAATTTGGTAACATTCTGCACAAAGGGGATCCCTTTTGGAATTCCAAATCTCATCAATTAGAAGCAGTAAGGATATGTTTAGATACAGGAAAATGCTAGGGAAAGGAGCATGAACATAAAAAGGAAGTTGTTTTTTAATTTTGCTTTACTTTGGAAAATGCAAACAGGAAAGAAACATGATTACTTTTCAAAAGGTTTACAGTAGTTGAGATTCTTCATGCTTATATAGCAGCAACAAGTAAATAATAAAATTAGTTTGAAGTTTTGAACAAGTTTTTAAATATACTTATTGAGTTTGGGAGTTTGGATTCCAAGTGAACCCTCAAAATGCTAAAGTGGAAAGCTTTTCTGCCAACTTGAGATTTGTTTATGGTGTTTTGGTGTTAAAAAAACCCATTGCTGCTGGCTGCTCTAGTACCTCAAGTTCTTTCATATTTCACATTCATTAACTATGTCTATGATACTCAAGTTGCATTATTTAGGTCTTCTAATGTTACTAATTACTAGTGTGAAAACAATCTTTATTTCATACTTTGCTATGTATGTGTTTTTCAGAGTGCTTTCACACTTAAGCTATGTGTATTGTATGTAAGTTTAGATATATCTGACCCTACACATTTCATTATGAATTTATTATCAGGATAGGTTCTTGGCATATGGACATGAGCAGCATCCTGTTGTACTTCAAATTGGCGGAAATGACTTAGGAAATCTGGCAAAAGCTACAGAACTAGCAACTCCTTACGGCTACGATGAGATCAATTTTAAGTTTGTTATGCTTCTCTCTAGGCCAGATGTGTTTGTACCACTTCCCGTGCATAAGTGACCAAGTTTTTTTTAAATATCTTTGCAGTTGTGGATGCCCCAGCCCCAGGGTAGCTGGACACGGGTGTTTTGGGGCCCGCCTCATGCTTGATCCAAAGGTGTGAGCGTATTTGCTTGACTATATATTTGGTTCTATTATATGTGTGTGTATTCAGATCGTTTGATTAATTTACTATTGTCTTTATTGCAAGTGAAGTTTGTTGCTGAAGCTATGTCAGTTATTGCTTCTCATACAAATGTGCCTGTTAGTGTTAAATGCAGAATAGGAGTTGATGACCATGATTCATACCACGAACTCTGTAAGCTATCTCATTTTTTTCTTTTTCTGTTTCAATATAAGAAAGATAACCTAGAAACATTTAAATATATATAGTTTAGTAAGATCTAATAAGTAATGACTAATGTAGTGTAGACAAAGGCAAGTGTAATGTAAATTGCACTAAATATTACTCTGTATATGTAATTACAGTTGACCAAACTACACCGTAGTGCTTAAGAGATTCATTTGGTGAATTTTTAAGGGTGCAACTAGCCAACTATACACTCATACAAATAAAATCACATTGAGTTTATCAAATCAACTGTCAACTTTATAAGCTTTTATCTTTGTGTGAGCAGTTGGATTCATTGCAGCTATATATAACTCATATTTTCATTAATATCTGTTGCAGAGTATATGCCAGGGACTTAATGGAATCTGACAGAGTATTTCTCTTTTAAATGTACAGGCGATTTCATTTACAAAGTTTCTTCACAGTCTCCAACTCGCCACTTTATTATACACTCCCGTAAAGCACTACTTAATGGAATAAGTCCGGCGGATAATCGAAAAATACCTCCCCTCAAGTATGGATTCAGTTATTTATGGCCATGTCATAAGTTGTTCAAAGTCAAATTGTAGAGCATATTTCTATTCAATGAATGTGATTAGATTATATATACAGTGTGCAACTGTTACTTATTCTCGTGCAGATATGAGTATTTCTATGCTCTCTTGCGTGATTTTCCTGACCTGCAGTTTACAATAAATGGGGGCATAAATACCATTAATGAGGTAATACATTTTAAAACAAAATGTGCTTCTTTTTCTTAATTTGTCTGTGTTTATGGTCTGTTATTCTTTATGGAGACCAAAGTTTAACTTTGACTTATGAGACTTTATCCCATTTTCACAAATGCGTGGTATAGATTGTTTATCTGTTTATGTCAAATATATATAGAACCTTTTTCCTCATTGTTATAGGTTGCCACTGTTAATTTGGATTGATTTAATAACTTTCTTGTTTTAGGGAAGAGCGAGCATAGTCCCATGTTATATATCTTATTCACTTAGGTCCTTAACCAATAAGACAACCCCAATTTACAGATAAATGCTGCTCGGAGCGAAGGTGCTCATGGGGTGATGGTAGGACGTGGAGTATACAACAAGTATGCTCTTTCAGTATTTATTTGGAATTTTGGACTTGTCATGTGTACACGATAAGGAAAACCACAGTTCTAGTTGAATTTCACTGATACATACTTGTTTCAAATAATAAAGAACTTACTAGTTATATTGTTATTTTAATTGAATACCTAGTGAAGACTTCTCTGAGGCAAACTTTTAAATTTCCAAATATTTGTAAATTAATACTCTCCCAGTTCACATATTCCTTTTAACCGGAGAAAGTGATTGCATTGCGGTGAAAAATGGCATATAAGTTGTGGTGGCATTGACCTATTTCTTCTGACAGTCCATGGCAGCTTCTAGGAAATGTTGATAGCGCAGTATATGGTGCACCACGTAGCGAGCTGACCCGCCGACAGGTTCTTTTCCAGAACTTTTCCTTCTATATGAGTATAGATATGGGCAGAGAAAGGCTGAGGGAATGAGGGGGGGGGGAGGTTCAGGAAATAGAGAAATCACCCTTCAAGATTATGATTGAGGATAACTCGGACACTCTCATTTGAAGGGCATTTTGTGAAATTGATAACATTCACTGAAGCTTTTCGTGAACCTTTTGCCGTCTCGAACTTAATAGCTTCTATATTGTGCATCTGATAGCCATTTTCCTGCACACACCCTAATCTCTCATATACCTACTTAGGTCCTGGAGAAGTATCAGGCTTATGGAGATTCAGTGCTGAAAATATATGGACAAGGACCCACCATCAGGGATGTTGTCAAGGTACAAGACTAGTTTGCCTTTTAGGTTTATTATTATTATTATCAACTTCATATTCATAGTAACATAGTTTGCACACATAGAATGCAAATATGTTTGCTACACTTATTAGCGCTTTATGAAATATAGGCTGGAACATGCATGTCCTAAGTGTTTCCTTATTGTGTTAATAAATATGATTTGTTTGTCAGAATTGGATGTTATGATCTGTGCCTTCGTTTTCCTCCATAATCTGATAAGTTCAATGGGGGTAAATTGCAGCCTTTGCTTGGTCTGTTTTATTCAGAGCCTGGAAATAGTCTTTGGAAGCGCAAAGTTGATGCTGCTTTCCAACACTGCACTGTATGTATCCTACACTGCTTTTTCTTCTAGTTTGTGGTTTTGCTGGACACATTGTCCCTTCAACTATATGCGTGTGTGTGTGTGTGTGTGTAGATTAGAGAGAGAGAGAGAGGGGGATGGAGGGGAGAGATCTTATCTATCCATCTGGATGGAATCTTGAATTTTTTACTCATTGGAATTAATTATTAGTGTCAATTGTTAGATAACCAAAGAAAAGTGAGTTTTTGGGGTCTGCCTTCAAAGAACAATTTAAAATTTAACAGTTGAAGCTGGATCATTGAATTCACTTTTTGCCAAAAATGAAGTTGGCCTGACGGGATTCGTTACAGGACTGGCTAATAAGATTTGGGTGTGTACATGTGTGCGTACTTGTGTGCGGTGAGTCACTGATAGGTTGAAAGGGATTTAACAGGCCACCTCTTATTTAGTTTTTAATTGGGGTACTCAATTCCTCATTAGTACTGTGCAGAATTTCTTCTCCATTATATGTTGTTGTTGTTGTGTACTCTTCAATGTTTTTTTTTCTTTTTCATTTCCTTTTCTTTTGATTCACGATTTGTTAAAATAATGGGGTTTCACACTTGCAGACTGTAAAATCCCTTCTTGAGGAGTCAATTGTGGCCATACCTGACTACGTTTTGGACTCTCCTGTTGCTGAGATGACAACTGGCTCTTCGAATGCTTTTACCATCGCTAAGAGCATTCTGCCCACTCCATATAGAATCAGAGAAGAAGAAACGCTGTATTCCTAGATAGTTAGACACTCTTACTTTGTTAAGCTATAACTGATTCATCGCAGCTTGCATGCCATGCATGTGATTTTTTTTTACATGCTATAACTGTTTAGTTACACAGGCATATCCATGCATGTGATTTTTTTTTTGGGTGCTGCTTGTAAAACCCGGTGATCCTTATACCTGTATAATTCTTTTGTGGATTCAAATACTTGAATGAATACAGCATTCTATAACAAATTCTGCTGGTTCTGGTAGCAGAAGTTTGAAGTATCAGTACTGTACGTATTTTTGAGACCATGTATTGGTTAAATTGAGAAGCACTTCATGTCTTCACACCATGATTATGAAAATATGCATATTATTGCAATCTTAATTGTTTCTCACCCAAGAAATAAATAAAAAAATGGGGCTTTTGTTAGGGCAGAGCAGGGGTGCAACTGTGCAAGTGTACAACTAGGCATGGATGCGGGCCGGTTCTGGTCCTAAAAATAATTAGTCAGGCTTGAGACTGAGACCTACATTTCCGGTTCCGGGCTGATTTTGGTTCACCTGTTGGTTGCAGTCACATTTTTTTTAAAACGCTTAATGCCCTTCCCCACTCCCTTCACTGCCCTTTTTTAAGCTTTTAAGTTGTTTCCTGATAGTTGTAAATTGGTAATGCAAAAAAAAAAAAAAAAATCAGACCGAGATCTTAACCAGCCAGTCCAGTCACCCGAACTTGCACCCTGTCTCAGTTTTGATGTGGAATCTGAAAACCAGTCCGAGACCTTGTCCACCCCTAGCTGGTTCTGGAATTGGGAAGATAAATCACCCACTTTGGACTTATTAAGGTCTGGGTTTTGGTCTGGGCTTTTCCTGAAAATACTGGTTTCGAGTAGGGAGGTGGGGGAACCTGCCCGTTTCTACCCCTAGGACTGAATTTGTGTGCTAGAGGAATTTCTGGAAGAGCCTCTCTTTTAGGGCCGGTTTGGTTAGGGGATTTCTGAGGAGATAGGAGGGGAGGATTGATTTTTTACTTTATTAATTTATCTCAATTTGTTAGTTTTAGACTACATAAAACTACTCATATATAATTAGTCAGACCATCTATTTTTATATACTATTTTGTTCACTTTATTTCATTTTTCTAAATGTAAAAATTATTTTAAACATAAATATGACTTTTCTCCTTCCCTCTCCCGGAAATCCCCTAGACACATCATTTTAGTCTTTTTAGATGAACTTAACAGCATAAGAATTTGAAGTATAGTAGTTTCAACATTAAAATGTGGACAATAAGTTGAGGCAGTCCATCACTTCAACAAGAATGAAATTATGAATGGGTGTTACTAAAAATTCTTAAGCATTGAAATTCAAAGCGGAAGTGGGGCGGTGGCATGACGATCTCAAACACAACGTGGGGAGACATCTCCTTCAATGATTGGAAGAACTAGTGAACATGAAGCCTTGACTTCTTGTTGTTCTTCTACGCCACTTAATGTCACATTTTCCAACTCTATATCTTGGCATGAATACGTTTTGCTGCAGTTGAATAATATAGCCACATCACTTGCACTTGTTCCTGTTATGTTTTTATATAGGACACTTCTTATGTTTACAGCGTTTTTCTGCCAAAAAATAGAGAAATAATCAATTCTTTAACGTATAATTAAGTTCATGATAATTAAAACAAAACATGATTGGACTAATGAGCAATTAATTACCTGCTCATCGCAGGAACCTATTCCGAATTTTGCACAATAGAACTGATCTATGATTATGGGATTCATCACATTATCCATTTCGATGTTTTCAAATGTAATGTTGTTTGCCATTCCTTTCCCTCCCTATTGTACATATGCAATTGATTACAACCTTGGAGGATAAATGTACGTAAATAAATATAATGACTGGATTCACTGATGATTAAAAGAGCTTAAGACGTTCTCATATATTTAACTGATATAGGATTGAACAAATCAACACTCCTACACAATTTTTGAAAAGTACACACCCTTTCACGGTGTAATATTGTTTCTGAAATGGTAAATATATATACATAAAATATATACTCTGTAGTAGTTTAAGAATTTTAAAAGTGACTATAAATACCTGCCAGGTCTTTATTCTCACCCCATTACTTGTTCCTTTAAATTTGGCTCCTTTGACTACAATGTCGGAAACAGATTCAGTCTCTTGATTACCCAGTCGACCTAAGCTCCCAATACTATATATGCTCACACACAAGAAACATAGCTTTAAAACTGATCAACTGTAATAACGTAAAATCACTCAAGTGGAAGATGATTGAAACTAGCATGTCCAAAAGCCTGATTACGGATTACCTGATTCCATGCCCTGGCCCGCAATTAATGTCAAGAATTCTAACAGATGATGTTCTGTTCACTACTGAAATACAATCGTCACCTGCCAAGGTTTGACAAAATTCAATATCAAGTTGAGTCACTCAATGCTCTTGGTCCAATCAACCAAACATTTAACATTGAATCCGAAAGATTAGGTGAATGATCCTAAATATGTTATAAACACATCACTCTTTCTTTGTAACATTAGTACCTACCATATGATAAATTCACCTCATTCGACAAACTTACAACTGAGCCAACCATTGTGTGCATATCGGCTCAACTTCTGAAGTTAAATGACTATTACATCCTTCTAAAATGTAATTGCAAGTATGTGAACACTCTCTAAACAATCACTTCTCTATGTAGCCTCAAAGTCAATGTAGACTCCTCCAACTACTAGTCTACAATAGTGTAGAGCCCACTGGTAAGTGGTAGATGGATACGAGGGGCTGCACTATATAGAGTGGTGGCAGCAGTTTGAACAGTTAGTCCTCGGCTAATTACGCTCTTCCAAGTTAAGGGGTAGTGCTAAACTCAACGAACACTAACAATGCTATAAAATGGCAGCACAACAAAATAAAAGGTAATGTGTAGTGATCTATTGAATAGCTGTCCCATTTCAATTACGATAGCTACTATATTTCTGCAAAAAGAAAAAAGTGGTTAAGAGAAGCCGGACATTGTTTACCTGTTTTAATGGTTGAATTGGTGATACTAATACTGTGGCTCCTAGATATATGAATCCCGTCGGTGTTAAGGCTGTCATAAGGAGCTTCAATATTGATCCGTGAGATTTCAACATGTCGAGTTATATTTAAAGTGAGATGCATTTTTTGCGCATTTTTGAACCATAAGTTTTCCACCTTCAAGTTCGTGCAATTCTCAAACATGACTGACTGTATCCCGAAGACAAAAACACAACACAGCATAGTTTAAATAATGCCAGTGATAATGAAATATAAATGATAAAGTTAATGTACAGATTCCACCTGGATAGTGGTGAATCCAATATCAACCGCTAACCAGTCCTCAGATGTGTTTTATAGATTCAGGTAAGAAGGACAACTTACAAATGGTATTGAACCGTTATCACATTGCTGCAGAAACAAAAGAAGAGCAAGCAGGAATGAAGTGTCAACACAATCCAAACAAAAAAAATGAAAGCGTAACATATTTTTATCTGTCTTTAAAAAAAAAACATATTTTTATCTGATTTAGTCTGTTGGAATATGCACGTGTCTACACAATTCTTTAATTCACATTTACACGAGGTGAGATCACTCAGACACAATTAATGGAAAAATACACAGAACAAACCTAAACAGACAAGTCAAGACTTGAATTATACAGACAACCCAGCCAGCTCAAATGAGGCGTGAAAATTTCTGTTCAAGTGAAAACATGTTTAGTGTAGTTTGGTAAGGACTATGAATGAAACAAGTAGTGCTTATTCTTAACTGTTTTATTTAATAAATACTACGTATAAGTGTTTTTTTTAAAGAGAGAATTCCCTAAATAGGACTAAACAAGGATAAAATTCATAAATAGTACTACTATTGTTTTATTCCTGAAATTTGACTCATTCACTCCTATTTTGGGTGGGAAGTTTTAATCAAATTATCTTTTAATAGGGCTAAATAAGTCCCATATGGGGAATAAAACATACTTGGTCATATTTTTAGACTTCGTATATGGTATGATTCATTATTGAGGAATTTCTATTTTTAAAATTCAAACTTACTGAATGCAGCTGGTTGTTCAAGGAATTGCAAGACTGCTTCCACCAGTGTTTCCCATTGCCATCTATGGTGCCTCCCCCTCCAACATTGAAGTAGTGCAGGCCCCGAAAAAGCATCCAGTTTAGCCTCCCACTAGTTTCATACTCTTTTTTGTCTGGCCAAGCTTTAATTGTCCCTTCTATCTAATCCAGGCCATTTTGGACAGGAAAAAAACAGAAAATTAATCAGTAGTTAAGTATATATACTAAACTTAAGCTCTTACGAAGAACATTAGGTCACCTTCATTGTCAGATTCGGGTTGCAGGGTCCATCAAAAGAGATTGGCTTCAGAAAATACGTCCCCATAGGAATCAACAGCAATCCCGCTTTTGTATGGCAAAATATATCCCAAGCTCTTCTAAACGCCTATTAAACTCCATGAAATTAATATCAAGCTATAAATTATCATATAATGTGGCCTGGCAGATACATACTTGGGAATCATCATCTCCTTGAGTGCCGAACTGATCTACATTGATGACAGTTCGCTCATCATCAGAAAGGGAGCAATCTAAGCATGAGATGGCGCAGATTATTGTTATGAATATTATTAATGGCCTTCTCACGAACATTTTCCAAGCTAGCTTTGTTCCGCCAAAACTCGCCGAGCCAAATAAACTTTTCTTCATTTGAAGATAGTACGAAGTATACACTATACAGTACTTCGTATAAGATACCTAACGGTCTGAATGGTATAAATGCTGGTTGATAACTTTGGAAATGGTAGGCCATAAGTCATTCAAAGACTCCAAGACAATACTACGTAATATTCTCCTCACTAGATTTTCACCCGCGCGATGCGCGGTCCATATTATTGAATAGTTATATGATCTTATTTATTAACTTTATTAGTGCGTGTGAAGATGATATTTTTTTATACGCATGTAATATATATGAACAATATACAATAATTATAGAGAAAACTATAGTTATCACTAATAATAGGTACGATTTATATATTAGGATAAGAGGAAAAAATGAAACACACAATAAATTTCGAAACACTTGTTTGTAAACATTTGTCGCATACAATGAAATCTACAAAGACTAAACATTTCGAAAGACTTCTTTGTAAACAACATTTGTAGTACGGTCAGTGCTTTCTCATCTTCACCGCAAATCAATATCTTCAAACCCTTACGGTTTGTCACTCTAGATACGGTCACATATAGTTGACCATGCGTAAAGACGGGTTTCTTTAATAAGAGTCCAACATGGGTCAAAGATTGACCTTGACTCTTATTTATTGTCATCGCATAAGAAGTCATGACCGGAAATTGCCTTCTCTGAAACTTGAACGGTATTCTTGCATCTGATGGAGTCAAACTTAACCTTGGAATGACAACTTACAGCCCAACATATTTCCCCCCTAAAATTCTTGCTCCAGGGATGTGATTTCCAAGCCGAGTAACAATCAATCTTGTTCCATTGCATAACCCCATTGAAGGATCAATATTTCTTAAAAGCATTATTGGAATATCAATTTAGAGGATTAACTCGTGGTTAGGAACTCTAGATGCACATATTTTGTTGAGAAACTCTGGAGTATACAAATCTACCCAAAAAATCCGCATTAGAGTCTGACTTGCAAATGCTAACAAAATCATTTTAATATGTACTCCCTCCGGTTTTTATTAAACTTCACACTTTCCTTTTTGGGACGGTCTAAAATAAACTTCACACTTCCTTATTTCCTTTTTTGGCAAAGAAATCTATATCAAAACAGTGCCAAACAGTGCCAAACAGTGTCTCAACAGTGCCAAACAGTGCCAAACAGTGTCAAACAGTGCCTCAACAGTGTACTCTACAGTAAAGTCAAATTTCTTTCCTTATTTTGTGTGAAGTCAAAGTGTGAAGTTTAATAAAAACCGGAGGGAGTATATAATTTAAGAGAAGTGATGCTGATAGAAACCCTTCATACAGGCTTGGCCGGATGGGACTCTATGTCGGCCTGATCAAATCAGTTCTCTATAATTTAAATTCACAAAGAATTTCAGTTAAATAAATGCAACCCAATAAATTCAGGTCCCAATTCAGCCCAAATACGATCCAATCTAGTCTTTTTTTTTTTATTAAAGCCCAATCCAATCTATTCTACCCACCGAAGAAACCCTAGGAATAAATACTTCTCACTTGCCCGATCCCCCCATTATGCGACCATCCTTAGAGCCATGGGTTACACCGATGCTCTCCGCCTCATTCTCATCCGTTCGTCCTGCTTCCCATCTTCCAACTTACCATCGTCTAGCCTCTCCCTTCTACACCATGGAGGCATATATGCTTAATCCGATGCTCTCTGTGAATCACGAAGATTCCATAGTTTTCATGGATGAGTCGAATTCCTCAGACGGAGAAGCCACTTGCCGGTTGAAGAACTATCTATCCCGCGGTAGCCTAACCTTTGACACCGAATACAGACATATTTTTGACTCTATTGTCGGTATATCAATACATCCGTGTACTTGATTTTTCCTGACTCGTTTAACTGCATGTTTCCAACACTGATGATTTTTAAAAAAATAAAAGAAACTTGATTCTGTGGTACAAATTGAATCTGTCAATATACTCCGTATGAGTTATATGTATGATTTTTTCCAATAAAGTGAACGGGTTTCATAGATATTGCAGTGACTCTTGTCTCTTGATACTGAAACCTATTGAAAATGAGACTTTTGGTAACCCTCTGTCACACATCTTACTCTATTAAAACATTTACTTTCTTAAAGTCCAAACTCTGAAATTAAATGATTTTTTCCATCAACCTATTTTTATCCTGTTTTTAACCTTGTAACAACCTCTATAATCTTTGTTTGGAGGCAATAGCACTTTACCAAGTTCTGGATATGTTAGGCCATTAATAGATATACTCAACTAATAGATATATTTTGAAAAGTAATACGTAGTAATTAATTTATTCAGAACAATTTTAAGTTTATCAAAATATATGTTGTCAAGTTGCTCCCTAATTACTTGTGTCTAAAATAATGGGGTTGTTTGGATTCAGCGGTTTGTGCCCAACCCGATGCTAATAGCAGTTTTTTCCTTCGTAAAAAATGGCATTTTGCTTCGCCCGACAATGTGTTATGACTTACTTCACTCATTGTAACTTAATTTCCTTTCAATTTCTTAGAGATTCATGATGTTACAGTTGAGAAGATATCCATACTTATTTTAAAAAATATTTATTTTGATTTTTGAAATATTGTCCAAGTAGGTTTATGCTTGAAAAAAAAAGAGATACGGAGTAGTTCTCAACTTTCTTACTTCTGCAATCTAGCTTTCTTACTTCTGCAATCTAGCACTACTCTCTCTCTCTTGCAAGTATGTCATATAAATGCAATAAAGAGTAGTGTATTCCAAAAATCAAAATATGACATACTTTTACCCTTTATATTCCAGTGTATTTTACCAAATTTAATTTTATCTTTCAATCATTATACTATACTTTAGAATTTGTAAATTTTCGTATTTTGGGCCTGAATAAAGTGCCTTGTTATGTATTATTTGTATGAATATGTAATTATTAATTAGTTTAGAGTAGGGAGTGCAGTGTCTAATTTCCGCACATCTTAAACCTACCCAAATCTTTTAATTTTCTATTTATTTGAATAAAATTACTATTCATGTTGAATACCAAGAACTGCAGTTGGTTTCTAAGATCTTAAACCTAATCACGTTGCATGCTCTAAATCTTCCTGTTTTTTACAAAATACTTCGTAGGAAAGTTGCTAGAAACACACTAAAATATGAATCAACACATTTGGTTTCTTGAGTGTTTTGTAATCTTAATAAATACACCAAAAAGTTGAATTTGAAATAATAATAATATTAGACCATAATATTGCATATCATAAAAGAGTGTAATTTACATTGGCTAATTTTGTACGTAGTACAATTACACCATTTGACATTCCAAAGCCATCTAATCACCTATTTTGTGTTAGAGCTTTTCCTGAACATTATTGTTGGACAAAGAACCTGTGAGAAAACATATAAAATATGCAATGTTAACAAAATAAAAACCAACTGTAATAAGAGTAGATTGTCATTGAATACCATTTGGTGCATGTATACATCCTCGTATTCCAATCGGTAAATGTTAGGCTATGAAGAACACAACTACGAATACTTTGAATATCTGCATTTTTATAAAAAAGAGTTGTAAGATTGAAATTATATACCTCTTCCTTTCTCTTTGAGTCCTCCCCACCCATAGAGTGGGCATGATTTTCAATGGCCCATACAACCGCCCCTCCCGATGCAATTGCTTTGTTCTGTGTTGGAGATGAAATGGGTTCTATTTATACTACTACGTACTATTAATATGATCTTTATTACTCCGTAGGTAAGAAGACAAACTACCCAATGGATAATAAAATGCCTTGCCTTGAACTATGTTGACATGAAGTATGAAAAGACAACACTTTGCAGACTATTATTAAATCTATAGTATTTGGTTTTAAATACTCTGTATACTCCAACGTCGATGAAAACTTCAAAATTCTTAAAGAAGATTCGATTTCAATAGCTGGCACGCAACCAATTGAATGAAGACCAATCAATTCTCGTCAATAAAACTCAGTCTGACACCTTTGTCTTAACTTATGTGCTAGACTTGTCTACTGACATACACTCTTCAGCTTTAGATCAAGACAACATTAAATTCGACCTGTCCTGTGGCAGCTGACCCTTTACGTTGTTTAAGTGACCCGATTCGACCCATGGTAGACCCGGACGTTTGGGCGGGAAAACAACCAGTTTTTCCACCTCTTTTTATATAGAGGTAGATTTAAAAATGCTAAACAAATAATGGCACTATTTCGAAATAGGAAAAACCAATCAATTAAGTTATGTTGCACGGACATATACGCGGAGATACTGAAACAAAAATGTGCACCAAATGTATTTTGTAGGTGCATAAACATTTATTTCCATTTTAGTAAAGAAAATTATTTGTGTGCAGACAATTCATTTTTTAGGAACACAAAAGATTATTATTTTAACTATCCCCATTTGTACGAGTTATTACTTAATAGTAATAACTGGTACTATTGGTCAATCTAGAATACCGTCTTATATTGACCTGATAGTAGCCAGGGGCGGAGCCAGGAAACAGGGTCAGACTGGGCCGGTACAAAGAATTTTTTTGGAAAAATATTTACTCGGAATTTTTTACCCTAAAAATTTAGATATTTTTAAAAATTGGGCTGGGCCATGGCCAGGGTTGGCCACCCCCTGTCTATGCCCCTGATAGTAGCCCTTTATCTTCCGAAGAAATCAACTAAGATTGACAACTTCAACACACATATTTCAGTTTAATCAATACAACCAATTCTCTCTATATTATTAACTATAAAAATATGGATTAGTAATCTAAAGTACATTAGTACTCATGAAATGATCAAGTGAATAATATAATTCATTGATCCATTCTAGTACATTAGTACATATATAATTGATCACTTAGCAACTAGCATATATCAATTTGAAATAGAATTAGGAATGCAATTAATAATCAAATGAGAATGATTATAAAAATGATTCATAACTTACAAATCATACGCTTCAATATTGCAAAAACTCGGATGAAAGAGTTTAGCTCCTAATTAGAGTCTAAACACACAAGAATAGAAATAAAACCATTAATGATTAA